GCCCCAAACCCTAAACCCGAAGCCCTCAGCCCTAAACCCCAAACCCTAAACCCAAAACCCCCAAACCCAAAGCCCTCAGCCCTAAACCCTAAACCCTAAGACCTCTGCCCTAAACCCCCAAAACCCCAAATCCCAAAAGGCAGCCTCTGAACCCCAAACCCTAAACACAAAACCCCAAAACCCCAAACCCTAAGCCCTAAACCCTAAACCCTAAACCCTTTAAGACCTCAGCCCTAACACCCCAAAAGCCCCAAACCCCAAAAGGCAGCCTGAGGTTTCGGAGGTACTGTTCATGGACAAAGTTCTGCATGACCCAAATATAGCATAGTACCATAAATCCCATAGTTTAGGTATATAAGGTCATGCAGGATTTTGTCCATCAACCTAAACCCTAAACCCTAAACCCTAAACCCTAAACCCGGAGGGTCGATGTTGGGAGCAGCTGCCGGTCGAAGCCTGCACGCGTCCTTGCTGTGGGATCTTGCCGGTGCCCCAAGGCGGCCGACAAAGTCTATGATGGTTTGGGGTTTAGGGTTTAGGGTTTAGGGTTTAGGGTTAGGCCTTAAGAATTAGAATCGGGTTCCCTTTAAGGGTTCCTGTTTCAAAGGGGTCCATAAGGGCTCTTTCAGGGGGACTATAATGTACTTTAACCTACCAAAACCCACGTTTTTGTATGTTATTATGATAAACCCGAAAATGGGATTTATAGGGACGCTACAAAAAACGTAGGTTCTGGTGGGTTGAGGTAGGGGCCTTAATCATTAGAACAGGGTTTTGGGCTGTGGGTATTTGGGATATAACGGAAGGTAGTTGGGGAGTCCAGGTAGGGACGAGGGCTTATAGGGGTTTTGAAGTTTGGGCTTAGGGTTTAAAATCTAAACGTCATCTGATTCCCAGTAAGCCCCCCATGGAGGATTTAGGGCTTTAGGGTTTAGGGTTTAGGGCTTAGGGTTTAGGGAGGATCCAACAAGTAGCTAAGTTAAGATTCAACCAAGTGCAAAGCCCAATAGAGGGGCCTTAATGAATAGAACTATAGAACAGGGTTTAGGTTTTTTCTGGAGGAGTAGAACAGGGTTTAAGGCTTTCTGGAGGGTATCTATAGAGGGCCTTAATGAGTAGAACAGGGTTTACGGTTTTCTGGGGGGGGTATCTTTAGAAGGGCCTTAATGAATAGAACAGGGTTTAGAGCTTTCTGGAGGGTATCTTTATCGTTTAAATTCTACTATACTACTATAATCCGACTGTAATAGGTTAATTTCAGGAACTATTCGGCTCCTGTATTACTTCCGTCATGGAGTGATACACCCATCACAAATTCAAAGCACTACATCCCCCCCCAAAAAAAATGAAGGCCATTAACACGTATTTTGATACAGAGAACCCGACGAGATCCCGGTACAAGGTCAGGGAAGCTCTCAAAACGTGCGGGCTATTGGCCCGCGTTGTAAGGGCACACGGTTTTTCGCAGCCTAGCTCGACGAAGGCTCCGGCTCATAGAATTTTAAACTAACCCTATAAACCATAAACATGTTGGGTTTTTGGGTCTTCTCTTTGGCATTCGCGGGGTCCTAAACCCTACAAACCCGATTGGCTCCCTAGGTCCTAAGCCCTTTTTAACCCCTAGGTCCGAAAAATTGTAAACCCCATTACAGCCTAAATAGGATCCCTAGACTAAACCCTAAACCCTGAACCCTTAACCCCCAAAAAGAGCCTAAGTAGGATCCCTAAACCCTAAACCCTAAACCCCCAAAAAGAGCCTAAGTAGGATCGCTAAACCCTAAATTCCTATAAAGCCTTGGGTCTCTTCATGTTGCGGCGTCTCTGCGGACCAAGAGTAGAGGTCAGAGGGGAGTTTCGCCCAGGGCTTTTTTTTGAGGGTTCAGGGTCTAGGGTTTAGGGCTCAAGTTTTAGGGTTTAGGGCTTAGCTCATAAGTAGAGGTATATGGTAGTATATTGTAAAGAACCCTACCTAGGGAAAAAGTGTAGGTCTGTTGCTTTAGGCTTTTAGGCCCCTTTATTATTATAGTCGCGGGGCTCGGGGGTTGGACCCAAACCGTGCGTCAGCCCACCCTGGAAAAGTGGCGCAAGCTGAGCGACTAAATTTCTTCACGCTCTGACCGTGAAGGCAACGGAGATTCGACGCTGCAACGCTTGGATCTTACGGCCTATGGCTGCGAGAACGGGAGTGCCTTTTCAGTGTTTCAGCCCTCTGGGATTAAGCTCGAAGCTAGCCCCTCCGCGTATGTCTGGGTGCGAGGCCAGGGTGAACATCGCACATCAGGGCTGAGGCTCAATCACCAGAATGCTATTTCCCAAAATGTTGCGCAGCTACTTCGGACCGAAACCCTCAACCCTCAACCGTAAACCCTAAACCCTAAACCCTCTATCGAATCTCCAGTTGACGTAGGAAGCAACGGTTCGTGCCGCGCTTTCGCAGCGCATGGAGGAGGAGAAGTGGCAGCTCCGCAGGTGGCACCTGCTTTTGGCGAGCTGAGGGCTGATAAGGTTTAGGGTTTAGGGGTTAGGGCTTAGGGTTTAGGGTTTGGAGTTACCTGGACCCCAAAAGTATGTAAAATAATAGCCCTTTATAGTTTTTGGGCCATGATTTTTCCTACTTTTGGGGGTTTAGGTAGGTTTTAGCAAGATTAGGGTTGACGGAAAGTAGCCATGACCGAAAAACGGCAAGCAACGCCTGTTTTTACCCACGCATACAGTAAAATCGCAACTCTGGGAAGACCCTACACCCTAAACCCTAAACCCCCTAAACCCTAAACCCTAAACCCCCTAAACCCTAAACCCTAAACCGCCTAAACCCTAAACCCTAAACTATAGAAGCTTCTGCGACGTCAGCTCAGGCTCCGATTGACCTCCCAAGTGCCTCGGACCTTACATCCAGACATACCCAGACCCCCGGAAGGATCTAGAAAGTAGAACCCCTAATTTGGGACCCCATACTAGTAAAGGATCTTTATAGGAACCCCCCTTAAGGGATCTACTTTTGGATCCTCCCGGGGGTCTGGGTAATTACTTGGAGGATCATGGGACTTAGTAGGTAAGTTTATGAGTACCTGAGTTGGGGTTAGAAGTATAGGCAGTATACGTATACGTACACTTACCATCTTGCAAACTTCTTACTATGTCCCATGATCCTTCAAGTACCCCCGGAGCACTTCACAACCAGGATTTGGTGCTGCTCCAGCCACCCACCCCGGCCTTGTGCCGATCGTACATATGCCCTGATGGCTCCTGGTCCAGGGAACTGGGTTGGAGGTCTGGGCGTCCACCTGAAGGACCCGTGGACGTAGCAATCACATATCACGTAAGTCATACGTCGCAAGGACGATGAATACACACGAAGTAAGGTACTTATACAAACCTATAATCATATAGGGGCCTAGACGATTAGAAAACCCTAAGCCCTAAACCCCCGAGGTGAGAAGCTTGTGCCCCAAGCTGGAGCTCCCCATCGGAATTTGCCTATAGTCCATAAGGTAACCCCCCAAAAAGGAACTACAATGAAGACTGCAGGTGTACCTCCAACAACTAAACTGAACACGACTGCCGCGACTGAAAAAAAAGACATAGAAGAAGCACATGAGATCTCAACATCCGCCACGGAAGGCACATATGGGAATTTCCCAAAACAAGTGGTACTTTAATTTGGGGTCCTTAGAATAAGGATCCTACTATTTAGGGTACTATTAGGGTCCCCTATTTTCGGAAACCTCCATATCCATCAGTGACACAAGATCCATGGCATTTGGCACCTACGCTGCCATACTGGCAGCAGGTATGGACGGTATGGACTCTCTGAACTACATCGTAAACTCACCGTAAAGCCCAAGAAAGCCCAAAAGACATGGGTAGTTGTCAAAATTATTGTCCCTTTGGGGGTATCCTAAATAATAGGTGCCGTATTATAATAAGGACCCAAAAAGGGACCATCATTTTGACAACCACCCATGTGCAGTGTTGTCTTCGGGCCCCAAAATACCTGAAAGCACGAGTCTTCGGAGCCCGAGGGCAAGCCAAAGCCATCACAGCCCCTACCAATAGGCCCCATAGTAGTTCCTTTTTGGGATTACCTTATAGGATTCTAAGTATGAGCCCCGAAAAAGGAACTACTATGGGGCCTATGGGTAAACCCCCATTCCCCCGAGCCCTGAACCTAAACCCTAAACCCTAAACCCGAAACCCTAAACCCTAAACCAAACCCTCATTCACCCGAGCCCTAAACCCTAAACCCTAAACCCTAAACCCCAAACCCTAAACCCTAAACCCTCATTCCCGGGAGCCCCGAACCCCAAACCGGAGCCCCCTAACCAGGTCCTTTTGGGCCATGGCCAACGTCTCGCGTGGTCCATCAGGACATCTGGGCGTCATGCTCCACTCTAGAAGTTACTCGGTTTCCACAGCACGCCTCTCTACGGAACCAACTCCCTCCTAACATAGGGGCCTAAATGATTAGAATAGGGTGTTGGGGTATATTCTACTATAATTATAACAAGGAACCCCTAAAATAGTATTGGTAATTATTTAGGCCCCTGGATTACCTCCACCCTACAAAGGGCATCCTACGATCCTCGACGGTTCTGTCTTGGGGCTTACAGGGATCTTCCTGGTTCTCGTCTGGGGCCTCTGAGGGGTTTAGGGTTTAGGGTGCTCTGCACTGATATGCTTGCTAAATCTTACGAAGTTTTTTTGATCAGCCGGCAAATCAGCCCCTAAACAGTAAACTTGAAACCCTAAACGCCTAAACTCTCCTAAACCTAAATCTTACGAAGTCTGTTCATCAGCCTGTAAATGAGCCCCTAAACCGCTAAACACCTAAGCCTTCAAGACATGAATTAAAGGAAACTACAGGTGGGGAGTTTAGGGTATATAGGGCTTCTATAAGGCTTCCATAAGGTACATAGACCTTCTATGAGGCTCCTATAACGGCACCTACCCACCTGAAAATCTCCTAGAATGAGCCCTGGTCGAAAAGGCTGACGAGCGGCGTGAGCAGCAGCTTTTGGAAGAATCGGTTCGCCAGCTCCTGATCAAGCAACATCTCGCGTATTGCGGGTGTAAGGTTTACCTACAGGCTCCATTGTAGTTCCTTTTTGTGATTCATATCTAAGATCCTATAAGGTAATCCCAAAAAGGAACGACAACGGAGACCATAGCTAGGGTGATCAAGGCAAAACCTCTCGCAGGAGAGGCAGTTCTCAGCTTGCGGGTTCAGGGATTTTACGGTGGAAGAGGAAGCTCATGGACAAGGTGGCATCTTGGGTTACAGCATGTGCAGGTTTGGAAAACCTCAAGCAAGTTGCCTGAGTGTGCACGTCTGCTGTCACCAATAGCCTGGGTTTAGGGTTTAGCTTGCTAAACCCTAAACCCCAAACCCTAAAACCCTAAACCCTAGCGTTTAGGGGTTGAGGGTTTAGGCCTGCATAACATCTGCATGCGCCGCGCAGTGTATTCGTTTGTCTTCTCCGCGGTGTGGGAGCAGTACAGGTGGCAACGAACGGTTTAGGGTTTAGGTTTAGGGTTTAGGGTTTAGGGTTAAGGTTTAGGGTTTAGGGTTTAGGGTTTAGGGTTTAGGGCTTTATTGTCACGAGGACCCGAAGCCGCAGGCCCCAAAACCCTAGGCCCTAAACCGTAGACACTTCGACCTCTCAGCCCTCAGCCAAGCCCTCAACCCCTTCAGCCCCAAAGGCCCGAAGCCCAAACCCTAAAGCCTAAACCTCAAAACCCCTAAACCCTATAAGAGGATACAGTTCGAATCTCCCTAAACCCTAAACCCTAAACCCCAAAGCCCTATAAGAGGATACAGTTCGAATCTCCCGGCCTGATTCGACTTGCAACAGGGGCTGGTAGGCACAGCACGCACCCCTGGCGAGGGTTTAGTTTAGGGTTCACAGTTTACCTAGACCCCCCAACCACCCTCTATTATCCCCCAAATACCCACTATTCAGGACCATAAGGGCTCTATTAAAGGGCCATTGGGGGGTCCCGGTATGCTGTAGGTTTTAAGACTTATAAGGTTCGGTCAAGCAGCTGTTCTTGCTACTGAATCGAGCTACGTCAAACACCCTACTACCGCACTACCAGCAACAGGTGCATACCGAGCGAACCACAATACCAAACCCAAACGTCCAAAAAATCCACATCACTTAAAAAAGCCCTATACAGCCCCTGATGATGAACTGGCAACGGCAAAGGCAAAAGATCCCCCAAAAAGGCGGCTGTCAGGCTCCCCAGAACACGTAAAAACTTCCGTTCCTCCTCCTGATTCTCAGCCCTAATAGAAGCCCTTTACAGGTGG